TCGTGGGACTTCACCTTACCCGGTTCACTGGACAGCAGCTTCTTATACTGGTGACACGGGAACATGAAAACCGAACGGCTCAGCAGGATCACACATCAGTGACAAAAGTGACTGCTAGTGTTAGAAGTTCTCAACATGTAACATTTAACGTGACCATAAGCTGCGATTTATACTGGAGTCTGTAAAGAGGAGGAGAACTTACCTGTTCATAAGCCATGAATTTAATGGCTGTCTCGGGGGCGATCTTCATGACATTGATACCATTTCCTCTCCACAAAGAAGTCACCCCTCCTTCTTTTAGCATTTGCTTGAAGCCGCTGACCAAGCTGATTTTGTTGGTTGTAGAAGCGTGCACCTGGGGGGGGGAAAAGCACTTTTAAGTTATAACTAAGGAGCAAGGGCTCGAAATTCAATTGCTGAAATTCAAAGTGAGCATCAGAATGGAGAAGAAGGGTGATTTAAATGAGTTTGAATATAGTACAGTGGTTAGCATATAAGCATGGATCCACCCTGCCATGAATCATTGGGTCAGGCTGGTGGTGATGGTGTAATGGTGTGGGGGATATTTACTTTGGTACACTTTGGACCCATTGCTACCAATAGAGCTTACCTGAGTGCTAATGATGGCCATTTTCATCCCTTTATAACCACTGTGTACCCACCTTCTGATAGCTGCTTCCAGTAGCATAATGCATCATGTCACTAAGCTTAAATCAACTGGTTTCTTGAACATGATAGAAAGTTTACTGTACTGATCACAATCCAATAGAGACCCTTTTGGGATGTGGTGGAACAGGAGATTTGTATCATGATGTGCAGGAACAGGAGATTTGTATCATGATGTGCAGCCGACAAATCTGCAGCAACTATGTGATGACATCATGTCAATATGGAGCAAAATCTCTGAGGAATGTTTCCAACACCGTGCTGAATCTGTTCCATGAAGAATGAAAGCAGTTCTGAAGGGAAAAGTGAATCCAACCCAGTACTAGCAAGATGTACCTAATAAAGTGTCTGCTGATTGTTTATGTGGTATTTTTTAAAAACAGGATAACCCAAACTAACACAAGACCATTCTTTTAAGCTAATTCTGCACCATTTTTTGCAACCATGCCACGGCATTTTGAAGCACACTTATCACCACATGGACCAATGAGCACATTTAGTAAAAATCCAATTCCTGGAGAAAAGGACCGATGAACAACCCAACAGGCATTTTATAAAATCTAAAAGAAATCTTGACCCACCTGCATGAAGACCTTCATTCTGTCCAGAGGGGCGGTTCCTGTACGGGACACAGCACCCGCCACTGCTCCTGCAGTCAGCTGCTTCCACCACAGACCTGTGGTCTTCTCCTCCTCTGTGAACTCATCTGGGATGGTGAGGCTGTCACCAATGTCCAAAACCTACACCCAATACAGTACAATCAAGTCACAGTCAAAGAGACTGACTGCTGACAATAGACTGTCTATAAAAGATGCACATAGCCTCTGGGACAGTCTTAATCCTGTAACCTCTGTAATTATTAGTAGAATTATTTATTATTTACAAAAATAAATAAAACATTCACTCTATAAAAAATAGAATAAATTTATCAAATAATAAATCCAACATATATTTATTAATAATAAAAATAAAAAATAAAAAAAAATACCCCCATTGCAGTTCCACCTTTAAGGTCCAGTAAGACGATAAGTTGCTCCTGCACTAATCTTTTCCCAAGCTAACTACTCAGTTATAAGGGTTTTGTTTTGTTTTGTTTTTTCACAGTGAACAAGTACCGGTAATGCTATTTGATAATTGGGCTCGCTTGCTAGCACTGGCTAATTAGCGCTATTAGCTATATTCTGATTTTGTCTCTTACACTACCATTTTGAATCCTTTTAAATGCCGTTTAAAAGGAAGGAAGGACCCTTAAAGGCCCTTTCTGAACTGAGCGGTTTCTGTCACACATCAAGCCTTATTATAGAACAAAATGGTTTGCATCAGAAGTTAGTGAGGGTGGTTTCTGCCTATGCAGCCACCCTTTGGAAAACCCAGGAACTATTTTAGCAATCATTAAACCACGTCTTTATTAATAAATGTAAAGGTGTCAAAACTCACCGTTAAAACCCACTAGACCGCTCTGCAGATGAACTTTTAGCTAAGCTGGGCGGCCTCATAACCACACATTCCCAGCTTCACCTTAAACGTAATGCCTAGAAGGATGGGACACATGCCATATCC